AGAAAAGGCGTTTCCCTTTCCACAAGTGTACTCTTTTCCCCTGAACATTCCTGACTTCTCATGCACTCTTCATGCTTTCCACTGCCTTCATCGTCCTTTGCAGAAGAAATTATGCCATTTTTTAGCTCTACAAGTTTCCCTTTAGTGTCAATTTCAGTAACAACAAAATCTTGCCACCTTCATTCAACAAGTTAAGCAAATAAACAATCTGCGCCTACAATTATAATATTTTTACAAATATACATGTACACTTCTGCACAAAATAATGATTCTCGATATTGAGACCAAAATTTCTCCCCAGTATGATTCGTACTCGTGTTGTTTTTTTCTACGCAACGAATGCTATATAATTGCGATTCAAGACTTCAACTCCAGACTAACGATTTGGATGTTAGTACGAAATACATGTACTCTTGCACGAATAAAGAAAGCCACACGATTTGCGGTATTGTTTATTTCTATTGCTACGAATTCGAGGTATAAATTGTTTTCTCAAAAAATTCTTTGAGCATCTTGAAATTCGAAACTTGAGCCTCGAAACTCGATTCTCGATTCTCGAAAGCATCGACCACCAAAATATACATACATAATGTAGAAAAAGAAACCTGCCGCTGGTTTAACAGTCTTGGATCATGTGTACTAAAGGTATCCACAGTCAAGTGTCAATGGATACCCTCGATCTATACCCTCAATTGACCCTTGATGGATACTCGATCAACACCTCAGTTGACACTCCAGCAACACTCCATTGACATCTCGGTCAACAGTTGGTCGAAAGTCGACTAATTTTCAATCGATGCATATGAGTAGGTCAACATTCAGCCAACTATCCATCAACTGTTGATCAAGTGTCAATCGAGTGCCTTCCGAGTATCATTCGGGATGTTTATTGAGATGTCGATTGAAACCATTGATCGACACTTGAACGTGGATACTTTTCGTACACATGATCTAGAGTCTTTTGATGGTGGTTTTTCTCTGTAACCAATCAGATTTTTACAAGTAACTTTGCCACTAGTTGGCCACAAGGTCTGTGTTGCCAGTTAACATATTAATTAATTGGATATATATGTGATTTTTAGAGTACTGGGATAATCAATGTTTTGTCATCTCTCAACTTCATTATGACTCCTCCCCCACCCACAAAGCCCCTACCCTCGACCAAATAGGTAAATTAGCAAAAATGAGCATGTGACATTACAGTTGACCACCGATAACTCGAACCCCCGGCTAACTCGAAGTAA